AGACAGGAGACTGCCGCCAATGCTTGTGCCAATGTTCCTGGATATGCTCCTAACTCCTTCCCTGCACTGCCCGAATGCACAAAAACAAGTAGGCAAGAAAGGAAGAGCAGGGCACTAATGTTGGTGGTTGAAAAGCATAAGAGCTTCAGATTATCAGACATAACTCTGAACATCTGGTCACCATAGCCAGCCTTAGACTGCAGTGAGGACAACTCAGACAGAGTGAACCATATGACTGAAATACAGGAACAGTTACAGCTGTTTTGTAGAAGTGTGGAGGATAGAAAGCAAAGAAAATAGTATTTAAAACAATAATAGTTTCTCTCTCTCTCTCTTTCTGCCAAGGGAAATGTCTGTCTCTCTTTAAAAAAAAGCATAATTTGATTTTTTTTAAAAAAAATAAAAAGTAATCTATATTTAGATTTTGATCCTTTCTCTATGTACTTTTTAGCTAAGTTATCTCAGTATTCCGTTTTATATACACAATATACAATACCTTGGTGGCGCCATGGTTAGAATGCAGTGTTGCAGACTAACTCTGCCCACTGCCGGGAGTTTGATCCTGATGGGCTCAAGGTTGACTCAGCTTTCCATCCTTCTGAGGTCAGTAAAGTGAGGACCCAGGTTGTTGGGGTAATAAGCTGACTCTGTAAACCGTTTAGAGAGTCCTGTGAAGCACTAAGGAGTGGTATATATGTCTAAGTGCTAGTACAATCATAGCATGAATATATTCTGCAGTGTTAATCTAGGACAGTGGTTCTCACCTGTGGGTCGGGACCCCATTTGGGGTCGAACGACCATTTCACGGGTGTTGCCAAACAACGCAGTCCGCCATTTTTTTCCCCTTTTCCTTAGCTGTGCTACTCCCTTTTATTCTATTGGCTTTTGAAAGCCAATAGAATAGACTCTCTTGAATAGAGTCTAATTCTATTGGCTTTCAAAAGCCAATAGGAATAATCCAGGCTGTCTCTGCCCTGCTGAGCCCGCCAAAAGTCCCATTCTGCAAACGGTGCTGCACCAGTTGAGTAGTCCTCGACTTACGACCGGTTGAGCAGTCCTCGACTTACGACCGGTTGGGGGTCGCGGCATTAAAAAGGTTGAGAACCACTGATCTAGGAGTATGTGTATCAGATAAGTCCTTGAAATTGGTTTAGCACTGCGCCCTGCAATTTCTTTAAACTGGCCCTGGTATATAATCCCCCAGACCAGCCAACTATATTATAGCTTAGGGCAACATGTGAACTTAACCAATTCTTTTTTTGGAAGGGAGTGGATGTTACATTTATATGCCAGGTGACATAGCTTTATGTTATGCAATTTAAAGAGGAAGGTAAGGGGGAATCCATTCTGTATTTCTGCATATTCATTTTGGAAAATAATAGAAGGAATAAGGCATTTTTTAATTTAACCCAAATAATACATTGCTATGAACATAAAGGACAAAATTTCACCTGAAACATTTATTTGAAAAAAAAATGACTATGGAAATGTTAAAACATATTCTAAATCAGGGATACTTATTTATTTGACTTTTAAAAGAAATAATGAAGAAAATTTACTTTAATTTTCTTTTTCCTGGCTCTGGGAATACTTCTGATGATGTGGTGATGTCATTGAGTCAATGCCAACAGTATCTAGGATCATCCAGGTTAGGGGAAGGTAGATATTAATGGGTAAAATAGATACTTCACCTTGAAAAAGTTTAAAATATCTCTTATCAGCCAGGATTTTTGGTAAAAGTGGCAAAACAAAACAAAAATATTTCCAAAAGTAACCATTTGGTTCCCAAAATATGGTGATGGCACCATTTGGAGGTGCACTCGGTTAGGAACGTATGTACTAGTTCCAAATTGGATGCCCCCAATGAATTCTGAATTTCTATGTCTTTAGGAGGCAAGGAAGAGTTAGCCACCTAAGACTGCTGAAAGCCACTTTTACTGCTCTCCATAGAATGTATAAGAGAATAGAACAGAATAATAGAATTGGAAGGGACCTTGGAGGTCTTCTAGTCCACCCCCCTGATCAAGCAGGAAACCCTATTCCATTTCAGACAAATGGTTGTCCAATTTCTTCTTAAAAACCTGCAGTGTTGGAGCACCTATAATTTCTGGAGGCAGGTGGTTCCACTGATTAATTGTTCTAACTGTTAGGAAATTTCTCCTTAGATCTAGGTTGCTTCTCTCCTTGATTATTTTCCATCTATTGGTTCTTGTACTGCATTCAGGTACTTTGGAAAATAGGTTGACCCTCTCTTCTTTGTGGCAGCCCCTTAGATATTGGAATACTGTTATCATGTCACTCCTAGTCCTAAACAATCTCTTCCCATTCACATATAAAACAAGCTACAACTTGACTAATGCACGGATATTACTCACTGTCTAACAACTCCATAAGATGAGACTGGATGAAAAGCCTGTTGGACCTCTTTCTATGTCATGAGATGAGAGCCTGTGTTCAAAAATAAATGCATGTTCTCCAGAGTGTGGAGGAGGCTGGCATGAACTGCTTCAGCCAGAGACCCAGCATTAGACTTATAGACCTGAAGTAGAAAAGGAACAATCCAAAAACCTAAGGGAGGGATATTAAAATAAGGAGAGTTTTTAATTCCTTTTAACAACATACTATTCTTACTTAAAAGATACCAGGTGCTGGTATATGAGAACAGAAATACAGGCCCACAGAAAATCAATAAAGCTGCAACATAAAACTTTAAAATACTCTAACCAGCAAACCTGCTTAAAAATAGCCTAGGTCCTCAGATTAGACACATTAGCTAAGCAAGCCAGAGTAAATTCAGCCAACAACTAAGAATACCTGCATCATGTCACAACATCTTAAAGCAAAATGAAATCAGACAAAGGGCTGTCTACATAAAAAAAATCCTACTAATCATCCTCACATGATCTATAAAGGCCATTCCACATGCTGGCTTAAAATGAGCTAAGAGTTGGGTTTCAGCAGCACAAACAAGTCCATCACTGGAGGTGTCAAGGACATAAATTGCATTTATACCACACAGGATAAATAGGGGAAGATGTCACGCAGGCCACAACTACTTTCCAACACTCCATTTGTGGCTACCTAGCATCCAAGATTATGATATTGAATTTGAGTGGCAAAACAAGCCTTTTTCAGCAAGCCTGATTTTTCTTGGGATGGCCAACAAGAATGGAAATGGGATAAAGTCATTTCTCAGAATCAAGCAGCTGTTATTCCCATCTTTGAAATGCCCAATCTGCAAGAGAGAGGGTGTGGCAGTATTGCTGTACATACAAAAAGAACACAGCTTTGATCATGATATCACACCCACTTTTTTGCAGATTTTGATCCCTTCTCAAAGATGCTATTAGTTCGTAACCATTTGCAGCAGGACATTTTGCTCCAAATTTGCCCTGTTCGTTTTCTAGTAAGCAACATCAGCACTAGAAATGGAGGAAAAATACATTCTCACCCTCCCCTTTTCTACTCATGATGGATTTGAGTATTAAAAACATTAATCTTTCTGACTCAGTAACTAGGGGTGAGGAATTCTTCCATTCCCAATTGCAAATATTTTGGTTGGAAAGCTTGAAAAACACTGTATCCAAAACAGCAATCCTTTGAACAAAAACAAGTAAAAACAGATCTTGATTTGTAGGGAGGGTAGGTGAGGAAAGTCTGGCTTAAGATTCTTTAAGGAGAGAAGAAACATCCGTGTACTTTTCCTGGACAGGATGTAGCCTGAAAATATAGAATTTCATGGCTGTTATTTTTTAAAATACTATATGAGTCTTCCTCTACTCATACCCATTTCTAAGCAGTGAGAGACTTGAAAACTGACTGAGATAGGGAGGAAGAGAATTTGGGGATTTTATTATATATGTGCTATGGAACAATTTCAGGAAGTTAGATTCTGATTGACTGATGGATAAATCTTCCTAACAGTAAGAAGAGCAGAACCAATCACTCGTCACTTTAAATTGACTTAAATAAAAGCTAGACAGCCTTTTTTTAAGGATGCCTGATTGCTGCCCTGAACAAAGTGTTGGACATGATGACATAACTGGTCCTTCCAACTATAGGATTTGAACATTCGGGGGTAACACCTAGTACAAGTATCCTTGGTTTCTAAATTAGGCTAAATCCCTTTCCTCCTTCTCTTGGACATTGTAAGCATGGTTATTTCATCTTACATCTGTTTTCTATTACTCTTTCCTTTTATCCTGAATGTCTATATTTAATTTTTGTAAACCACATGAAAACTAATGCAAATGAAAGGACAATCTATCAATAATAATAATAATAATAATAATAATAATAATAATAATAATAATAATAATAGTTGGAAGGGATAGTGGAAATTAAATGCACTGAGTTATGCTAGTATTTCCCACACAGGCATCTAAAATGTGAATATCTTATACATGTCTTTAAATATTCAATGCACAATTAGTAAACATTGCTTATACATGTTATATATTTATTGTCAGAAACTTCAGCCCAAGCAGACAGGCAACATCAGTTCATACGGGCTATAATAAGTAGTTGGGTTTGGAGATTTGTTTTAACTTGGCTCATATACGGTATAATCTTTCATCACGGGCCTAAACTTGTTCCTTTGCATAACACAAATTCCCTTTATTTCTTCTAAGAGTAATTCTATCTCCTGGGATTATAGGATTCTTTAATGACTGCCAGAAAGCACCCTAGATCAGAGGAATGCAAGAATAGTCAGGTCAGGTCAGGTTTAAATGCCACCCAACAAAGTCATGGCCTTCTGCAGTCCACAGTCACTTAGGTGCCTATCATACAAATCTAACTTAATTCATACCATAAAATCCTCTAGCCTGCAAAGATGGCATTATTTGATGTCAATGCCATAAAATGGTCATAGCAAGCAATACTTGTTTAAAGTATTCCTCATCAGCACCAAATATTTAACGAGTGGAAGACTGCTTTCATCTCTGCAATTCATTCAGATCTCAATGGATAAAAACGTATCTTAAAAGATTAAACAGTACCTCTAGCATCAAATATGATGGGCTGACACTTTTGATTAGAATTCCAGTTACACTTGAGCACCTGGCCTCCTTCTACAATCCCAGGCTGAGTAGTGTTGGCCTTTGGAGCACCCACGAGGAGAAACATCCTGCCGGGAGAAACAACGAGTGAGAAATCTGATCATTTCAACCTGAAACAGGCTAATCTGAGACAGGATGTAGTAGATTCCTCATGTAAATGCAGTGATAATAATAAAAAAGAGGAGGAAAGCAAATGTAATGAAAGGGCCAAAACACTAATGGCCATTTTATAAGAGGAAGTAAAGAAGAAGAAGAAGGACTTAGTATTTCTGACCACCTATTTTCCTCCATGCAAGCAGATTTGCTGAATGCATGACTTCAGTTCTAGCACGTCATTGTAATTCACCAGCTGCATCTGAGAATCCAGCCCAATAGAGATTCATTAAATATCCTGTTTTGCTGCTTGACCGAGGGTTAAAGTAGTTGCTCAGATAAATTACATATCGCTATTTCCTTTGATTTTCTCTGGGAAAGACTTGTGGATACTCAACTGATTGGGACCCTCATGGGCAGGGCAGAAGGCCCCGATCCCCCTTTTAGCCTCCTGCTTTTCTTTTTACATTTCATTTTTCTCCTGAGGAGTTTGGCTATAACAGAACTGCATTGTTATCCCAAAAGGCTTTCTATGCCACCATAAGTATGACATCAAGAAGCAGGAATTGTTGGAAAAACATAACTAAGCTCTCCGTTTATACTTTGCCTCCCCCAACCTGTGAAATATATCATCCCCTCCCAAAAGAACAAAAGATGAAAGGAGAATTGTACGTTTTAAACATCTAATGCATATGACAAAGCATATTTGTCAACCATTTCAAATGCAAATGCAATTTTTTTAAAAAACATATGCAGATCACGCCTTCCAAATTGGAATACTAGAATACCTAACAACTGCAGCTGACCTTGATTCCATAGTGGCTAGGATCTGGAAGGTCTGTATATTGTCCACATGCTAAATGTTGAGATGTAAGTATAAACAGGTATAGTAGTAGAAAGTCCCTCTTCCTCTTACATGATATTTTAAAATCCTAAGTGATTGATCTTTCTAATGTAACATTTGGCTCAGTTTGTGACTTATTCAGTACTTATATGCCTTCCAAACAAATGGAAATTATTTCCCAGAAGTCTTAATACTAGCCAGCCTACCTAAAAACTATTAGCTGCTCAAATGGACTCCGTGTACACAAAGACAGCAATTTAATAAAACTGAGCTGCAAGACTGAAAGAAAAGAAATACCAAGGAGAATTTTGCCTGATTGTTGGGTCATTTGAAAAAAACAAAATAGTTCCAAGAGCCATATTTGAGTAAGCAACTGGTATTGTTTTGTAGTTTTGTAGCCTCGTGAGAACTAAATTTTATTGAATTTGATACATCAAAATTGTCTAGCCTCCTCAGCCAGAAAATTACACTTAAATTCAAACAAAAATAAGTGGCTTTTGGCAACTATTAGCTTAAACCATGCTCTTTGTGGTGTTTCCTCTATAAAATATTATGCTTGTAAAACACTGGGTATATTTTCCTTCATTCACAATACTATTGTCCATAATATTCCACAGAAATAACATTTCAGCCATTAACTCATACACAATTCTAATATTTTGTTTCAATGAACCCAAGTTATAATAGTTTAAATTGGAAAAATTTAAAAAAAAGGAAAAGTGTGCCTTCAAATCTATTTTGACTCCTGGTGACTGCCTGGAGACATTCCTTCTGCCTAAAGCTGGGAGAGAGTGACTAGCCTAAGGTCATTCAGCTAGCTCAGGGGTAGGCAACCTTGGCTCTTTTATGACTCGTGGACTTCAACTCCCAGAATTCCTGAGCCAGCATGGCTCAGCTTGGAAACCTCTCTCTTTCCCCTCAGCAAGGCTGGCTCAGGAATTCTGGGAGCTGAAGTCCACGAGTCATAAAAGAGCCAAAGTTGCCTACCCCTGAGTTAGCCTGTGTCTAAAGTAAGACTAAAACTTATAGTGTCCGTCAGACTAGAGAAACCAAAAATGACAAGGTGATTTACTCGGATGAATTTCTTTATTGCTGCTTGCCCATAGACAGGAATCTTGCCAGACGAAAGGGTAACCTGCATTAACTATTAGATTGAAAGGGTTAGGGTGGGTCCACATTGGGCCTCTTCCTACATATCAAGCATTCCAGGTTGATTTGTCTTTTAGCTCTTCGGAAAAGACTCCTTCCCTCCTGCGTGTCTGCACATTGCACCAGTGTCCTGGTTTCTACCCTGATGTCTTAAGTATAGGTAGTCCTCAGCTTACAATTATTCATTTAATGACAGTTTGAATTTACAATGTCAATGAAAGTTACTTGCAAGCTGTCCTCAAAGTTATGTCCATGACACCGCTCCCACAGTCATGTGATTGCAATCTGGGCACTTGGCAACTAACTCACATTTATGAGAGTTGTAGCATCTTATGGTCATCTAATTGTGATTTATGACCTTCCCAGTTGGCTTCTGACAGGCAAAGTCAATTGGCATTTACTTGATGATTGTGGTGATACACTTAATGACTGTGGTAAAAATGGTTGTAAAATTGGGTCCTATCAAGTGATGACTTGCTTGACAGCTGCATCGGTTAGCAACTGAAATTCTGGTCTCAACTGTAGTCGTAAGTTGAAGACTATCTTTCCCAGAGGTCCCCAGCCTTTTGGGCACCAGGGACAAGTTCCGTGGAGAAAGGTTTTTCCACAGACCAGAGAGTGTGTGGTTTTGTGTGCTGCCTGCATCCCATGGATGGGGCTTTGCTTGTTTGTGCGGACTGGTTGCTGGCATGCTGCAGCCCGCTGCTGGTCCACGGACCAGGGGTTGGGGACCCCGATCTATATTATACCAAACTGGGTCTTAAAAAAATTAGAGCACAAAGAGTCAAAATATTTGTTCTACCCTCATTCTAATGCCAGAAAAAAATGCAAATTACCTAATATATGTTTTACCCAACATAGTATAGCACGTCATGTCAGAATATTCTGCTAAGGGACAATGATGCAGGCCAATGTATGGATTGGATCCAATATATGAATGAGACTGCTGCTTGCTGATGCTGCTGGATAAATTAAGAGACTGTGGCATATATTGTATCACTGTAAGAGGATCATATATCCAACAGAAATGAGGGTGTTTTTTTTCTTTTTCTTTTCTTAAAAATCTGAGGAAGGAAGATATTTCACTTATACCATTTCTGTTATTGTCTTTGAAAATGGTATCCACATCTGTGCTGCTATCAAATGCTCATTAGTTCTATTTTTTTTCTTTATTATATTTTAATTTAAGATGTGTTTATCCATCCCTTAGGAACCCATAGCAGATTTTAAATATATGTTTATTCCTCATTATCCTAGAATAAATTATTGAAGAGTTTTTGACCATATAAGCTTCTTCTTCTGTGAACTTGGAATAATGATATTCTAAATCAGTGTTTCTTAAACATTTTTCTCTCAGGACTACTTTCTACCATAAACAAATTATGGAGAACCCCCCCAAAAGCTTATGGGTTATATTTTTCATATTATAAATTAAAATCAATGCATTGGCTGCTGCTATCATTTCTCACTATTGTTTTGATAGAGTTTTAATATTGCATTATTTCTCAACATAGGTTGCCAAATAATTTTGATTTTGAGGAGCATTGAGAAAGCCTTGGGAGATCTGCAGTGTCCTAGGACCATATTTAAAGAAACAATCTCCTAAATAAATGCTGAAAGAAAAAAACTGAAAACGTAGTTTCTATGTGTGCAACTACCAAAAGAATTTCAGCCATACGTGCATCTTGTTTCTTTGGATTGCTGCCTTATCTTAAATCTTGATTATTGCATTTTTAAAATGTCTTGGCAGAAAAGTTGCTGTTATCACTGAGAGAACGTTATGAACTAACCATTCATGACAAAGCAATTCCTTAAAAAAAATAAAGTCTGGCAAGTATGATTGATTATACAGTCACATATGAAAAGGGATGATGTCCTGGCAAACTTCATGTGTTTAGAAGTATCTTCCATGTATTTTAGGAAAGACTGTGACAGTTGGGAATGGAATAATAGTAGTATAGACTGCATGTTGTTTGGAGTTATGAAATACTGAGTGAATGTGGGAAGAGGGTGATACAAAGCAGCAGCAAGAATTAAATGGGAATAAAAGTCAGGAATTTTGAGTTGGGCAATTGTATAAATCAAATAATTGCATAAATAAAATCCTGAATCACACTCTATTATTTATTTTAGTGATATAGTGTAATTCATTTAGCCATTAAAAAAACAGAGCATAGTGCAGTAGTGGCAAACTTATGGCTCAGAGCCCTCTCTGTTGGCACGTGCACCACCACCACCAACAGCAGGTCCATCAGGCTGCCACCGCCACCTGGAGCAGGAACCCCACCTAGCACAAAGGAGGCGAAGCGCCGACTAGCATTTTACATGCGTCCATGCGCACATGGGGTCACGAGCACGCACATACTGCAAATGGGGCAGGGCTAGTGCCTGTGTGATACTCTCTAGCCCTGCCCCATTCTGGTGTGGTGCAGCGCCTTGTATCTGCATCCTGTGGTGCAGCGGCAGCCGTTTTTGCACCTTGCAGCATGGTGGTCCATTTTTGCACCCCCGGTTTTTGCATGCCAGAGGCGGCACTCAGAGGTGTATCCCTGCCCCCCCCAAGGGCACCACAATGCTGATGCAGCCCTGGCACTTTGCAATAAATAAGTGGGTTTTGGGTTGCAGTTTGGGCACTTGGTCTCTAAAAGGTTCACCAGATTGTTGGGGGCAATGTAAATATATATATATATATATATATATATATATATATATATATATATATATATATGTCTTTGGTTGTTAATATATATATATATATATATATATATATATATATATATATGTAGGTCTTTGGTTGTTCGGGTTTTCTCCCGCGTAAAATTGGAAGTGTCTTGGCGACGTTTCGACGAAGTCCCATTCGTCATCTTCAGGCTGGTGTTTTCAGCTTCGTGCTTCGAGCAGCAATGTGTGGTCTTAGCTGTTTCTTCCTTTTAACTGCCAGTGGGGGTATGAACTGATTGGGTGGGAGCTTGGCTGTGTTCT